TTTTTAAAAAAAGTGATCGCATATTGTCCGTTTAACAACATTTGATTTTCATCAGCGAGACGCATGATTGAGCGCTACCAAAGATAATTTCATCAGAGAAGCGGCTCGCAACAATATTATATATTTGTATTCTGATTGTATTGTATTATGTATATCATGTAAATATTCGGGAAATAAATATGTTTAAACTAAAGGTTTATGCTCAAACATATTCATTTATCCATTTCTTTAAGAAACTAATACCTCGTGAATGCCTTTAAGACATTATCTTTTTTATCATATATATATATGGTTTTAAGCTGTTACTTTCACACCAAAAATAACAAATGAACAAAGTAAAAGAATTGACCAGTTATGGTAACGTAGATTACCTCATATCTATGTTTGAACATGTCAAACAATAAAATGTTGATGTCCGAGTTATTGCAAAAGAAAATCATTTAATTCTTTTGAAATGGAAAAGTCTGATCAAATGCACAAGAAAATCTTTTTAATTTTTAAACATGATGTTTATTTAAAGTAAAAAAAAGCAAAAAAAAAAAAGCTTTTGAATCATTTTTGTAAAGCGGCATTCTGTTTTTCTGAAGGTTTTATATGTTTCAAGATGAAAGTCAAATAAAAAAAATTTGGTGGAAAAATTATATTTGCTATCAATAAAATACAGAATCAATAATGAAACTCCTCGATTCCTCTAATCTCCATGTCCGCATGAGAAAAGCGTGTGATTCGTTTTCCGATTTTCTATTTTTAGAAACGAACATCTCCGGCGTTCTATAAAATTAATAAACTCTTTATACACTGTTTTGAAGTAGTCCTTACAGTGATATGTTGCACTTTTCTAAGATAAAATTACTAAAATACTTAATTTGAACAAAGATCATTTTCGAATCATTTTCAAACAAAATATGAAAGCTGAAGGCCGCTTTAAATTAATCTAATCTCGTTTCTTAATTTATGCTGAAAGAGCGCCCACAACAAGTAACTTTGGATGACTCATCTATGCTAAAAACGTCTTCAAACTTGACACAAATCTTGTCGGCATTGTTTGGCCATTTGAAAATTGGTGCTTTGACCCCTTTACATTTTGTTTTTGCTAGTATGAAACAAAAATAAATCGCCATCAGCCATGTCAACCTCGTCAATCAGTCCAAGGTACCAATATGCTTAACTACTATTTTCTGGGTGCTTGAACTTACACCATTTTTATCATCAACAAACATTCTGTCTTCATCTTAAACACAACCAGACCAATTAATTTATCAACTTGTATTTGAGTTCGAGCTATTTCATTCTGTGCCAATTTCTGAACATTTTTTCTGACATTCAATGTTCTGGTCGCTAAAGCCCTTTTTTTTTTTTTTATCTTTTCACTGTTTTAGCTCAGTATGATTTGTTCTCTTTTGTTCTTTTGTTTAAGGTATTTTACTCCTTAAGATGATTTTTTTCCTCCCACAAAAGGTTCGCTGTATTTCAGCCAATGATATATCCATACTTGCTGAAACAAAGAAAATGTAATCTACGTTACTTATTTTGTAATCAACGTTACCATTTTTAGAAACAATTTATTTTTTCCTCCACGAACAAGCAGTGTTATTAGATGAAACTACTATGTAATGATCAACAATAAAGGAACATGTCAAATATTTGGAGAAGAACTACTTATTTGTGTTGCAGATATCACAAGTTGATTTTTTTTGTAATCTACGTTACCAACATTGGTATCATAGTTGTTACACCTTTATAAAATCTTAGATGATCTGGTATAACACATATAACATACATGTATCTGTGTAGTTCTGTTAAGATAAACATTTATGAACAAAATCTTTTGTTAAGCAAAAATGGAGACCAAAAAAAAGAAAAGGATTTGTTACAAACATAGTGGGTCATGAAACTAATATTTGCAATAAATGTTTGAATAATAAGTGTTCCAGATCAATTTCATTGGAATTAAAGATGTATAATTCAATTATAATCTTAAAACTATAATAAAAACATTTTATCACTTACTAGTACCTTGGTTTGCTTTCCTGAAGATAACTGGAACTCAGTAATATATTGTTTCTGCGCGGAAATTGCAAATGCAAATGGTGGAATAAGTGTCAAATTTGAAATAAAGGGAAACAAACTATGTGTTTATTGATCTAGAAGTTTATATTACGGAACCTTGAAACAGTTTAACATGATCTCGGACATGAAAATCAAATTATTTGCAGAAATTGAAAACCGTGGTAACGTTGATTACATCTCGTAGATTGTACATCTTTATTGTCATGAGCATGAAATTCTTTACAAACAACCAACTTATACAAAATAAAGATATATTGAATGTTTAACAGGTCTAATCTAATTGATAATAGTCTATAAAGAGCACCCTATGCCACAATATTTGAGTAATAGCAGTAACGTAGATTACAGTCTTAAATTTACTTTACAAATATAAAGTTTGTGATTCTGGTTTAATGCTTTTTAATGAAATGAGTTAATCATTGTATCGCGTATCGTTTATTCTATGTTTTGTTAGTATTTGTATCTGTTAAAACACTTTTTAATGTGTTTATTACCTGTGTATTTTTGTGCGCAAACTAAGTAACGTAGATTACATTGGATTTGGAGACAAGAAAGTTTTGTTTTATAACGAAAAAAGCAAAGAGATTCACTCATAATTTATTTTAAATTTCAAACTTCAACATGTCGTCAAACAAAAAAATAAAAAAGATATGTTCAGTTTTTAACAAATTGATGCAGCACTTGTGTGCTAAATCATGTAACCCTTTACAGCGACAGCGTATTTTTCTTTTAGATTGATATTATTTATCTGTTTCTTTTCCTAAATACCAGTTTCTTACATCTATTGTGTAAGGTACCATGTAATAAGGGACCATGTAATGTTGAAAAAATAATTTAACAAAACTCAACTGTATAATTGTATATGTTTTAACATTCGTTAAGAGACACTCAAATTTCAAACTTGGGTCTATCGTTAATCGGAATATATTTCACCGAGTGAGCACTAAAAGTATATTTCACGAGTGGCGCAGCTACGAGTGAAATGTGAACTTTTGGTGTTCATGAGGTAAAATTTATTTCGATTTTACACTTAACTAAACAAATTTTCTCTTTATTATATGCAAACAAACGTTAATCAAAGCACAGAAGGCGCTGAATTTGTTTGGGTCTCAAAATGTCAGAAAGGTGAAGGTTGTGAGATTATAAACCAATTTGTTTTTGTATAGTGCCACCAATGCTTTCCAGTGTTTTAACTGTAGTAAATTGGCTATAAGACTAATTGCAACATTGATAGTCAATTCAATGTTTTTTTTTACTTAATTTAAAAAAAAAAAAATCAGTTGCCTCAACTAGGTTGAACTCCAGACCTCTCGATTCAGAAGCGAGCGTGCAAACCCCTCGGTCACGGTGAAGTTATATGTTAACGGCCTGAAGAAAACCATATTAATCTAAATTAGGGTTTATAACTCTTATCATTTCGACGCTAAACTTGTTGTTTAACACAGTAGATGTAAATAATCATGGAGCTTACTGTAAGCATGTATATCTATAAAGAATGAAACAATATTAGAAATCTTCGACCATTCGGGAACTACTTTAAAATTAATGCGCCTGCCTTTGACAATCTTAACACATTGATCTCCCCTGAATTTTTCGGCGTTAGTGTACATATAAAGGGAAGTAACCGCTTCAAAAAGTGGATTACTTTAAGCATTTGCAATTAACAGCATTAGGCTCTGAAATTTCGCTACCATTATTTGTTTGGTCTGACGACCCAAACAAATAAAAAGGACATTTTTGTCTAATACTAAATGAATAGCGCGCCAAATAGTTACACAGCCTGACGTCATATACGACGTCACGTGATTAAGTTCGTTTCCAGTTCTGTGTACGCTGGTATTCCATTGAAACATAGTTTGAATTCACTGATATATTTCAATAAACCACCGAAAAGCATGTAATAAAAATATATTACCGAATGAAAATAAAGGGAGGTAATAAGAAATTTATTTTCTATAATTTCTCAGTTAAATTTTTCAATAGGAAATGAATGTATAACGATAGAAGAGGAAAGAAATAACGCCTCACAGATCAATAGGGTCACAGCTACAGATGCTGATGGACAGGTATTATACAAAACTTTAACCCTTAACATGCTAAATATTTTGATTGGACTTGTCCCACTTCCATTTTTGGGACAGTCCATTATCAATTTTAGGAATATCAATTTGAATAATCAAAGTTTGTCAGCTACCAGTATAGAGCCTGATCAGACTGCACGGATGTGCAGGCTGGCCTGGCTCTATACTGGTGGCAAAGGCTTAACGCTTTTGGTTCCAGCACTTTTAAGGGTTTAAAGTATATAAAGCTAGTATATAAAATTATACTATTTTTTTTAATAAAAAAGCTTCCAAAATGCTTGTATAGAATAAATATGGTAGTTTATTGCTTTAAAAGCGAATGGAATTTTTTTAAATTAGGCTCCCAAAGTAGAAAAATGGTCAGACACGTGGTAAAAATGGGTGGGGTTTTTTCATTAGAATGTTATTGCAGATTATTTAAAGGTTCCTTATTTCTAAAAAAGGGCCCTCATAACATCCTAGCTTGAGTTCAGAAAAGTGGCCATAACTCGATTTCCGTACGGTAAACTTTGTTTAAATTTTGCATACAGGTGTACTTTAAGGTATACATCTGACCTATGATGTCAATTTTTTAGTTCTTGATAGTGCCCATTAGGGTCCTAATACCTTAAAGTATCAGAATTATATCTAATTCCAAAACATTTTATTCAGTTGACGTACAAACAGACATTTTGTACCACAACTCTTTCATGAATTGATCATATGAATATAGTATATTTGCAACAAGTCCTGGAGAAATTTCAGATAATTTTACTGGATGTTGGTATAGTATAAACAGTCCTTGGTTTCTAAAATAGATTTTTTATTATTACAGGGTGTGATGATGTACAGTGTAATTGGTTTGAATACGGCTCCAAGTTTCTTCTTTGTTGGTAGCAATGGTCAAGTGTTTAGTCGAGGAACATTGAGATCAGATAGAGATATGGAATATGTTGTAAGTATACTAAAGTTTGTGTGTATTTGTGTGTATTTTCAAGTATAGTAGATAACAAAAAAGTAAAAAGTAAACCTAATAGTAATTATAATTACATCTATATATCCTTAAACAGTGTATTACTTATTGAATTTCAGCCATTCTTCTTCCAACACTTAGGAGATGAATAAACATAAATATTTGATGCCTGTTTTCATATCCAAGTCCAAAATGTATAAGAATTAAATTTTTTCACAATTTGCTAATATAAGTGTAACATATTCAATACTATTTGTAATGCACTGCCATGTATTATTTTGTAAATGAAATACTGTTTAAACTAAAAATGTAAATAGAATTGTAATCAGTATAGTAATTATTCAAGATGTGACTGGTTTGTAAACCTTGCTGACTTCAGACCAATTGCTCTTCAAACGCAGTCTGTAATTTTCATATTTTGTTTTCTTTGCTTCTGACAGATTATTCCTTTCCCAGTTTTCTATCATGGTTTGATATTATTATTTCAGTTGAGAGTTGTAGCACACGACAGTTTGACACCCAACCAACAAGCAACAGCAGACGTCACAATTTCTGTCAGACGTAATGTGTATTCCAAACTCCCTAATACACGCAGACAATACCAGAAGACACTGAAATTGGATCTAATATAATAAGAGTGACAGCCAGTGATGTTGATAATGTATGTCATATTGAAATATAAGCCTTTCTAAATTTCTATCATTTTATTAAACTTGTTAGTTTTTATTCATTAATATATGCATAAAACTTAAAACACTTAAGTAAAAACACCATGTTTTGGATACCTCATTCAAGACCTTAATTAAAGAAATACCAGTTCTAAATTCTATGAATAATTTCTGTAGTGTATCATAAAAACTTTCAACCAAACTTTGTTTAGGGTGAGTAAAAATTTTAAATATACACCCAGATTATCAAGATATTTTTAATACATGTAATTGTGATTTAGTGTCCAAGTTATCTAACCAACCATCATATGAGCCGTGTCATGACAAAACCAACATAATGGGTTAGCGACCAGCATGGATCCAGACCAGCCTGCGTATCCGCGTCCATGCTGTTCGCTATCAGTTTCTCTACTTGCTATAGGGTTGGTAAGCGAACAGCATGGATTCTAATCAGACTGCGCGGATGCGCAGGCTGGTCTGGATCCATGCTGATCCCAAAGCCATTATGTTTGTTTTGTCATGACGCGGCTCAATTATGTTTTTGCTTTAATTATATATGTACAATTTTACTTAAAAATGGTGTTTTGAAAATTTATTTCAGGATTATCTCACTTATTCATTGACTGGAGAATTGAACAATTTATGTGAAGAGATGTTCTATATACTCAACAATGGAGAGATTCGTTTACACTCCTCAATACTGGTGAAACATCCTAAAAATGTAAGTTATTTTACTATTGTAATACACCAGTGCAGCATCTTTGCTTTATACAGAATTTATTTTAGTTCGATAGTGTAGGAAGCTATACGTTTCAAATCCAATCCTGGAACCAACCAGTACTGAGCAATGAGTCTCAAGGAAACGACTGGCCCCTGATAGGGTTTGAACCCATGTGGCTAGCGATCATAAGATGACTAGTGCAGTATCTTTTTTACATTTTTGTTAAGAAAATGATATAAGTTTGCTATAATTCTGCTTTGTTAAAAACATTAGAATTATTAAAAATAAAATAATCGTAATAAATTTGCAAAGAAACCTGTCCTTAACTTTCTATTTTAGTAAGATATGAAAATTATATTTTTAATCTGATAAAAATCCTGACACTAATTATATATGCTATCTATTTCAGTGTCGAGTTACTGCCAATGATAATGGTTACCCAAACAACAATATTGGAACAGCAAATGTTGTTATCTTTGTAACACGTGACCTTGCCATACCAGTGTTTAGAAACAATGCCCGTTACCATTAATGAAGATGAAGATGTAGAAAACAGTATCATCAAGGTCACAGCTACCAGACAGGGACTTATTGTAAGTATATAGGTTCTTAAAAACTTGGAAAAGTCACCAGGTGACCTACCAAATTTTATTGTAAAATTCTAGAGAACATATGAAATTATGTATGATGTGAAAGAAGTAAATGTGAGATCTTAACGAGTTTGTTTACCATCCAAGTTTTTCTGTAGGTTATTTCTGTCACAGATCTTTCAACTTATAAATTAAACTTTCAGTGTTGTAGATTAAAAATCTGGAAGAAGGGTGAACCCCCCGGAAGCATTAATCACAACAAAATTACTTGAAAATTGCAGACTCGGTTTGATTATCTGCCCATAAGGCATACTGAAAATGTGCAACATCCCTCATGGCCCCTAGCTATCATAGTAAATACTTATTTCTGTTTTTCAGAACAGAATAGGGAACGATCTGAGATAAGCATCGTATACGTCACTGATAAGAGACCTGTTCTAAAAATAGCCACATATCGATAAGTTTCGGACAAGGAAACTGGTTAATCTACATGTAGAGTATATAACATAATGGTTACGAATACTTTTATTCACATTTCTCTCAATGGAAATGATGTTCCTGGAGTTAAACTTGCGTAAAGTATGATTGAGATGGTTTAAAACCATCAGGAAAATAAAGATGATATGGTGAAAAAGAAATAACTTTCGGGGCAATACTTTCCCTGCATGTCAAATTGCCGATTTCGCATGGATGCATTGATGTGTGCAAATTACATATATTCAATATTGAAAAACATTTTTTTTTTAATTTTTCAGGATGCTTTATATTTCTCACATCAAGGTGACAATACAGACTTGGTGTTCTTCTATATTACACCAAGAACAGGAGAAATTACATTAAGGAAACCATTGACTGAGACCACAAGAAACAGCTTCTCATTCTCTGTCGGTGTTGTTGATGACAGACCAACAGGTGTCAGAGAAGTGACCAGGCTTCTGTTGAGATAACTGTACTACGTGATAGTGCCCCACCACGATTTGTCTCACTAACGTTCGGGTTAACCAAGCTATCAATAGCACTGTATATACAGTGAGAGCTGTTGACAGTGATCTCAAGGTTAGCTAAGTTTGACAGTTATTAGCTAATTTATTTTACAACAAATCCACTGTAGATAACTTTTAATACTGTTCACAAAATTTCTTGATTTCTGTTTTAGAACATCTTGCTTTGAGCATTTTTTTAAGATTTCGCCAAACTTTTTAAACTTAAAACTGAATGTTAGATTGTCAAATTCAGTTATGAAATGTCCTTAAAGGAACTCCACTGAGGTTTATAAGCCAAAAAACATGAAATTTTAATTTTTCACATAGATAAACATGAGCACTTAAAACATAAATATTAATAAAATATAACCAAAAATTTTGAAGAAATACATTGAAAATCATATGTTTGTGCTATTTTCAGTCCGATTTGAGTGAAAAGCGTTTAAACGCTTTTCAATTTTGGGTCATTTTTCACTATTATAATAATTATTCTGGAAAAACGGAGCAAGCTAATGATCTGAAATTTTGCACATAAGTTATTAGTATAGATCTACATCAAATGGAGTAATAATCTCAAACAATTATTTCCAGTCCCGTCATGTCAAAAAACCTCAGTGGAGTCCCTTTAATAACTCTTTTGATGATTAATTCAATTTTATTGATGTTTTTTCCAGGGTGATATAAGGTACAGACTTACAAGCTTCTAATATTCTCTAAAACCATTATTTAAACATTATAAAATTAATGTTTCCCCGTAAAAGTTTATTTATTTCTAAGGCATAATGTGACTTTAAAGAGACTGTTTATGAGAATTTTTCAAGAAATATGTTGAAATTTATTTGTAGTTCACTGTAACGGCACCTGATCATGGTCTTGTACCTCGATCAGCTCAGAAGCCCAAATATATTCGGATCCTACGTAAAGGGTTACCATACTTTAGCTACAACGAGTATGAAGTTACCATTCCAGAAGATCGTATTGTTGGTGCTCAGGTGATCGACCTAGATGCAATTGATCCTAGGGCAATTGATGACTAGGCCCCAGAGGTGTCATTGTTTTTAACTACATTGTATATGCATATATTAAGAACTTAAAAAATCTTCTTTTAAAAAACCCAATTAGCTAGAGGTTCTACAAAGTTTGTTCAAATGAAAGCCCTTGGGTTAAAATTGGCCCTGCCAAAGGGGGGGGGGGTGCGGAGATCATTGTTTTTCATAATATGTGTGTAGCAAAAACTTAACATCATGAAACATCTTCTAATGGGTGTCTTCCAAGTTTGTTCAAATAAAAGCCCCGGGGTTTAAACTGGCCCTGCTCCGGGGGCCTATATACAGGTGAGCGATCTCAGGGCCATCATGCAGTGAAATTACCACTTTTATATCACTGATATATAGAGGATATTTGTTTAGTTCAGTGTAAGATCGGAATTTATTACATGCTTTTCGGTGGTTTATAGAAATATATCAGTGATATAAAACTGGTAATTTCACTGTTTGAAACAGTGAAATTACCACTTTGATAATTTCACTGTTTTGAATTTAAGCTCCTTACGTTGTTTCAGTGAAATACCAGCGTGCACAGTACTTGGTACCAACTTAATGACGTGACGTCGTAAATGATGTCACGTTGCATTATTATTTGGCGCGCTTTTCATTCAGTATTAGGTTTACTGCCTTTTTAAAACGTTTCTTTGCATGTAATAAAAAGAAAATTTGTTTAGTTTAGTGTAAGATCGAAATATATTTCACCTTGTGAACACCTAAAGTTCATATTTCACTCGTGGCTGCGCCACTCGTGAAATATACCTTTTGGTGCTCACTCGGTGAAATATATTCCGATCTTACACTGAACTAAAAAAATATCCTCTATTTAATAAGTGTGTGTCAATTACGATAAGTGCGAAAATACAATAATCCAATCATCGTATTAGCGCATTGATTGCTGCCGACAGTCATGTGCACGTGTCATACGTTGTATCATTTTTTTCCTTCTCTCAAATAGAAATATCTTGTTTATGCATTATCTAATTAAAGCACTTAAAGCAATAAAGTTATATACTTTCCTTTTACTTAATATACATGTATTGTTTTCATATTAGAATCTACACGTATTTTCAATTATTTTTATATTGGTAAAAATCATTTCCATATTGATATCTTATTTTCATATACAATGTAGATATCTTATTGCTCCTATTTGTGTTTACTATTTTTTGTCCATGGGCCCGGATTTTATCAATTAATCCTTTCGATTTACAGATAAAAATAAATTCGGATTTTATAACTCCTCTCGATTATTATATTGGTTCCCCCATAAGTGATTTGCAGCATGTCATATTAATGAATGAGAACCGGAAAGCAGTTCTGCTGTACATGAATTCAAAAGTTATAAATAGCTATAAATGTTCTGATTTTTGACACTTAGGTTATAAATTTGTTATTTCCCCTTTAAAGTAGTACATGAAATTATAATTTGTTACATTTTGAATTACATTTACACGGCATATAAAGTATACTATTAGTGATTGAATTTGTCAGTATAATAAAGATTTCAGGTGTAAGACTTTGATATTTTTGTTTTTGATAATTATTCTTAATTTATATTTATGAA